CCCCTCCGGGATTGGCTGCCGCGGGCGGCGAGAAGGGGAGGAGCCGGACGCTCTCCCCGCCCCTCCTCCTATATAAGGCGACGGGCGGGGCAGAGAGCCTCACTCCCGCTTCCCGCCGCCGCTGCTCCCTCAGCGCCCGCCGCTGCCATGGCGACCGCGCTCTGCCCGCTCCGCACCCTCGGCCGCGCCGCGCTGCGGCCCCGGGATCGCCGCCTCCACCTCAGCGCGCCCAGGTACGGCCCGATCCGGCCTTTTTAAATACACCTGTGTGGTGGGGTAAGTGGGGATCGTCCCTTTCCTCCGCCCAGTGCTGGCGTGAGGAGGGGGAGGCTCGGCCTGGCCCTCACCCCCCCCACCTTCTCCTTCGCCTCACCCACCGGGCTGGGGTAGAGACCCGGCTCATCGCCACCGGCACCGGGGATGACTGAGGCGGACCCCCAGCGGTCACCCCGAGCGGTGCAGGCTGATGAAATCCCGCTCCCGCCTTGCATGGTGTATGTTGGGCTTCCCCCTCACTCCGGGCGGGGGGGTGGGGGGACACACCGGGTCTACCGGGCTCTCCCCGCACCCCCAGAGGTGCCTCTCGGGGCCCGATCTCAGGCTGAACCCAGATTAAGACGGTGTGAGAGGGACCAGAGAACCCCCCCTCTCCCCGAAGCATCGTACCCCAAGCATCCCACCTGTGGCTCAGGCTGTGCACCCACAAACTTTCTCCTTCCACTTCTGCACCACCCTCCCGTGGATTTTGCTCCCGTGCACCGAGAGCCCTTCAGGGAGCTGCTGCTGCTCGGGTGCTTTGGTTTCACCCCCGTTCCCTACTCTAAACAGGGCTCCCAGCTCTTATTTTGGCTTTCCTATAGCTCACAAGGGGGACTGATGCTTCTCCCCGTCCCCTGGAACCCCAGGCTGGGCACCCAGACTTCAGGCTTATGTAAGGGGAAGATTTGGGTAGCCTCTTGGCATGAGGTGTCTGTGATCTAATGAGTTTTCCTTTCCCTAGCTTGCCAGGCACTTGTAATTTCCATAGATGTATCTAAGCGGGTGTACAGTAGTTTAGCGCAGGTTTAGCTCGAATATAAGAATTAGAGGGCCAGGGGGCTGAGCTGGTCTGGAATGGGGTTTTGCTGGTTATTGTTAAATAAGTTTGACTGGGGTGATTAGTGTTGGGGATGAAGCAGCATTTAATTCCCAGTAAATGGGAGAAAACTACATATTTGAGTAGGTCAGGGATGCAGGTATGTGGCTGGAGCGGCTCTTGTGGTGGCTTTCCCCTGTGGCAGCTGTCCCCAGTGCTCCAGGATCAGGATTGTACCTAGAGAAGGTCAGAATACAGCAGTGTTGGACTTAACGTGGGATCCTGGTAGGAGAAGGTCTGTGCGCCAGGCAGCTGACAGATTTTTGAGGACAAACTGCAGCAGTTTGGCTCACTCCCATTGGATGGTACATGGAGGGTTGGAAACTGCACTCGGTGCTGTTGGGCTTTCTCCTGTGGGTCAGTCGTCTCCTGGATTCCTGTGGCAAGTTGAGTAGCTTGTGGAGTTCTGATGTATATTGCTTCAGAAATGAGCTGGTCCTTGCGATTTGGGAAGGCACCATAAATGACAGTAACACTGTGGGAGCATCTTTGCTAGCTGTGGCTCAGAGGAAGGAATAATGGAGCAAGTAAGGTGCTCGTCATGAGGCAATGCTATAGTGAAGTCTAGAACTGAAGCTTGTGAAGGTGTACCTTCTCCCAAAGGGATTAGTGAACAAGAATGATCTTCAAATAAGAGTTGTAGTGATAACCTGAAGAAAAAAAAAACCAAATGTGAGCAGTGTTGTGACAGCCTTTTGTGAGTGGGGACTGGCAGCCGTGGCCTCCCAGCTAGCTGTAGGTCAAGCCAGCCTTTCTATGTACTGCAGGGTGTCTAGTTGCCTGGAATGTATTTGGTGGTGACTGGATATTCCCGTTACCAATTTAGACCAGAAATGTACGCAAGGAGTTGTTTTGACCTGGTTCAAACGGGCAACTGTCCCTTCTACTCCAGCTAGACGTTGGAGTCTGTCAGAGGGGGTGAAACCACGTACCCCCAGCCCAGCTTTAACAGCCTGAAGGCACGACTGTAGCTGTAGCAGCACTTACTTGAGCAGGGGAAGGCATGAGACTGGCTTGCGTGAGGTGCGTGCTGTGCTAGATGGGCCGACGGTCTCGCCGAGGAATTTGTGGGGGATGAGGATCTCTGGGAACAGCACTCGGTACAGAAGCATGGCACGCTGTGCCTCCCTTGCTGCATCCAATGAGCTGGAATTACTCAATAGACCTCTTCGGTGGTGGAAGCTCCACTTAAGTGGAGTGAGTTCTGCTTCATGTACGCCCTTTGTAGTGAAGCTGTCATGCCTTTGCAAGGAATGAGTGACTGGCTTTCTACAAATGGGAGCTAACAGTATCTTAGCTTGAAACATGCACCAGACAAACGATCCACACCTCGCAGAGAAGAATAGCGTGTAAGCGTTCTCAGGCTGCACAAATAAGTTGGTCCCTTTGGTAGTTTTGTTTGCTGATCCTGGCTTTGGGCAGCAAAGCTGTAAACTAAGACTGAACTATGCTGCTTAATATGATTTGGTATAAAGGTGCAATAGGCTTGTAAAGTAAGGCTTGAGTGAAAGAGCTTTTCCTGGTCTGTGTTGCACAGAGCCCTAATGACAAGTCCTAACGATGCTGACTGCTTTGGTAATGCTTTATCTGTTGCAGAAATGATGCCGTTGTGATTTCTGGAAGGAAGCTGGCCCGGCAGATCAGGCAGGAAGCCCGTCACGAGGTTGAGCAGTGGGTAGCAGCTGGAAACAAGAGACCTCACCTCAGCGTTGTTCTTGTCGGTGAAGATCCAGCAAGTCACTCCTACGTACTGAACAAAACCAAAGCGGCTGCTGACGTTGGTATGTCTTGCGCTCTGTTCCAAAAAAGTGGAGTAAGTGAGTGTTTTATCTTGCTGTAGTTGGGAGTCCTCTCTGCTGGAGGCTGAGGGAAGCTTTTTGGGATCCATCCATCTGGCAGCTTTTCACCTCGGCTGCGTGGAAGTCCCTGTTTGCCCCAGCATTTGCTATGACTCTTTTGGCTGCCTTCATTGTTGTACTGGGACGTAGTTAATAAACACAGTTCACGTGTGCATTGTGCCATTTGAGTCCCTTGGGGCAACATCAAGCTCTGTAGTTTGGATTTGCAGTTTTTCTAGGTTCATATAAAGCACAGACAAGGCTCTGCTTTGCCGTCTTTCCTCAAATACTTGAGATGCAGTCATCGTTCAGCATCCTTGCTACCCTGTGACTGCTTCCAATCTTGCAAGCTGAGGTCCTGCTCATTGTTTGGCCAAGTATGCTTCTGAAGAAAATGTGCTGAAAGGGGTTAGGGGCAATAAAGGGTTTAATTTCTCCTTGGGTTTTGTCCTGCCGTAGCCTTCTTTTGGAGCTGAGATTTTTAGGCTAACATCCCCTTCTTGCTGTGTCAAGAGGGACCACAGGATGTGCAGTTGCATCTCCGTTGTAGCACACTTTGGTTAGGTTTCTCCAAGCCCTCTCTGCATTCGGAGGGTTTCTGCTTCCAAGTAGTCTTTCCCAGGTCATTAGACCGACACTAACGGCCCTTAACCGTAACTTGCAAGCCTTGTGAAGGTCTCCGGCCTGGAAGGTGCTCTTTGTTACACAAAGCATATGATCCTTGGTGTGTGCTTGTCAGATTTAGTAGAGCAATGAACAGGGCAACTTAAATCTGCATGGATTAAGAAAACTGCTCTTGCACTTGTGCCCACGTGGCTCTCTAATGCAGTGCTTTCAATGGCTGTGCAGGAATCAGCAGTGAAACCATCCTCAGGCCGGCTTCTATTACTGAAGAGGAGCTGCTGGATTTGATCAGCAAACTCAATAATGATGCCAGTGTGGATGGCCTTTTAGTACAGCTTCCTTTACCTGGTGAGTAGCTAGCTTTCCATCTGTTTCATTTTAACATAAAGCTTTTAAGGGTTTGTATGTGCCAGAAGGAGGAGTAGCACGGGGGCTACCCAATGACATGAGAGGTGGCACCCTGCCATGATGCAGCATAAAGAAGTTGATGCAGCTACTCGATCACACAGCTGCCTGCATGAGTTAAGTTGCTGGGGGTCACAGAAATCTATTCTTGTGGAGGGAGTATCAGCTTCCAGAGCCAGAAGCTTGAACTCTGTTGTGATGCTGAGGCTGCCTAAAAATACCCTCTC